TTGTGTGTATATATATATATATAGCCTTTTAGATGCATTTGAAAATCTGGTCTTATTTCATATCCATTTACTCTCACAATTCAAAGATTACTATCACTAATAAAACCTGACAAGTWTATTAAAACTGACCAAAAAGTCAAATGTGAAACAATTTTTATCATCGTATTTGACAAAGTACCAAGTAACTCATAAGTTTGTGAAAAACATGTTAAATTCTTCTTTTTTACGGAAGGAAAATTTACCTTGGATTTGCACAATGTCTGATCCACAACATTTAAATGATAAAGTCACACCAAGAAGATGCGAAAATAATATTCATTTGAATGCAGGTAGATATGTGAAAAGGAAATTAAAATATTAAAGATAGATATTAAAAGTACCTACAATAAATAAAAACATAATGTTTAGTATTAAAGACGAGCTGCAGAACCTCAGAGACTTTTACTTTATGCAAATTTAAAACCAGGTTTTGGCAAATAAAAAAGCTTCATTTCCTTTAATATGATGAAAAGCAGTGAAGAACTGATGTATAAATGTATTTTTTGCCATTTTGATGTAAAGTGTTTACAGAATTACTTGTTTTTGTAACTTATATTTTCATTACTGAGAGCAACATCCAAGCTTCCATTGACTCGCACTGATCCCATTGACTTTTTGTTCACTTTTTTTTTCTTTGCTGCTCCCACTCTGTTTTCTGTTGTCACACTCTGTTGCACATCATGCTTCCTTTCTTCACTCACCACCCGCCTTTTTATCTGCTCTTTCTTCATTTCCTGCTTTAGTTGTAAATGTCACTTCATTCTGCGAGCTGCCGCACGAAAACTAGACGACCGCAGTGGAAACAGGACGTTCATGTTCAGAGCTCATTACCTGTGGAGATATGCACTGAAAATAACAAAAAATAAAGTTATTTTAACATTCCTCACATTTTACACACGTAGTGTTTTATGGTGTAAATGCTGATTCAGCATTCACATGCTTCTTTTCTGTTTTTTATTTCTCAAAATGTTTCTGTCTTCTCGGGTTGCTTTTAGCTTATCGCTTGTTATTTTTTATTTTTTGCTTGTACCAGACTTTTAACTAGCATTTATTTATTTATTTA